TTTAGAAGAAAAAAAAAATGGACTTGACATTGAAATTAATTACTTGTTAGTTTGTATAAAATGGTTAAGTGTCTTTCTTTAATTTTCTCCTGAATTATAAAGTTAGTACGTAATAACCTAGAGCCCTACCTATAAAATATTGTTCATTTAGGACAGAGTCTTCACAGTTTTGCCTTCGAGCTTCATATCTGAAAACACATTTTACAAATTAAGGGATAACCAAACACTGGCGTACCCTAGATTTTTGCCCAAGGTGCCTCCTCGACTCCACCATTATTTACCAAATAATTAATGAAAACTTCTAAAAAATAAAACCTTAAACAAAGGAAATAACATAATATCAAGAATCTGAAAGGAAACACAAGAAAATTTTTATATGGAAAAACCTCTTTAATGTGAAGAGAGCAAAAAAACTACGCGAATTTAATGATCCATTTAAATCTAATATAATCAAAAGAGTTTAAAGTAACCACAATTCACCAAAAATACTCCACATAAATTTCTTATTTCTCCTCTTTTTTTCTTTTAATTTTAATTTTTTGCTCTTAAAGATTATAATATAAATTTTCATGACTTTGATCAGACATAGTCTAAGCTAAAGTCACATAAGACTTAAATAAAGTCAACGTTGCGTTGACCTTTAATATGAATTAATAAAAAAAAAAAATTTCATGATATAAGCATAGATAGTAACTCAAATTTTTTTAATAATTTTTAGCAGTTAAACAGTGACATTTGAAATGTAAGAAAGTGGAAGGTGAAGAATAATGTCTAGTAAAATATATTTAAGGTTTAATTTGGGAAAGCAAGAACATTCTTAGACATAAAACACAAAACAAACTCACACGATTTATGCTTTTTTCCATCAAATTAGAATAAAAAACCTCCACAAAACAAGCATGATTCAATCTTAAAATAAACTAAATTGAAATGAGTAATACATATACTTAAAACTAATAAAACATAAAACAGAGCTAAATATGACACCTTAAATAGTGAAAGCTTCAACAATTTCAGTCTTCAAAAGTTTTAAGAGCGAATAGCATGAAAAAGAGAATGAGAGAGTAAAAATTTTTAAAAATAAAATCATAAAAAGTAGGTGGAGTCGTGGAGAAGAGTAGAGAGAGTTTTAAACTTTTAATATGATGTGGATCTAAAATATATATATTAATTAGGGGTGTTCGGTTCTGAGTACCTACACTTTTTGAAGGAACCAGAACCGACGGTTCCTTGAAATTTGGAACCAGAACCGGAACCGACAGTTCTAGTTCCTAGGTACCCAAAGCTAGAACCTGTAACAACGGTTCAGGTTCCGATTCTGGGTACCCTGTAAAATTACATGACCCCCCAAAAGTTTTTTAAATGGCAAAAAAAACCCTTAAAAACTTACAAATACCCCCCCACCTGGCACTTGTTAACAAAAATAAAATTACAAATTATAAATTCAAAATTACAAACTCTATTAATTACTTTGTAAAGGTAGATTCTCAAAAGTCAAACCAACTTACTTTAAATGTTATGAAATATAAATATAAATGTATTCACATTATTTTTTCTACAAAAGCTTTTATTAACCCCCATAATCTTTAATTTTATTTTATATTAGTCTCAGTTCATGGTTCCTGATTCCGGTTCCGGTTCCTAAATATAGGAACCGGAATCGGAACCGTACAGTAACAGTTCCAAAAATTTGGAACCGGAACCTACCAATTGATGATTAGTTCTGGGTAAGAATCGGAACCAAACCCAGGGTACCTACCGGTTCTGGTTCCAACCGATTCTTTTGAACACCCCTAATATTAATAGTATGTTTTTTGTAGGTCTGGATATATGTATAATAATTCTCATTTTAAAAAAATCTGAAGGTAGTCTGGATATATATATTAACATCAATTTTTTGTGCGTCTATATAAGCAGTTTTTTTTTTTTTTTTTTTTAAATGTGAGGGTAGGCCCAGGTTGGGTCCGCCCTTGTAAACAAGGTTTAATACCTTTGGCCCATGTTCTGCCCGCCGATATAGAACTCTTGTCAAGTCATGACATAATATACATTTTTATAATTATTTACTAACATATTTTATCACTTGAACGAGATATTGAAATATATATTTCTAAACACATTTAAAGATGATAATTGGACAAAAATCACATTAGGCATAAGATAAATAATAACCAATACTTTATGAATCAAAATCAGTTTAATATCTGAGCATTTGTGATAAATTAAATATTCTGAAAATTAAAATCATATATTTTTTTTTTTTTTTTTATGGTATGGGGCTTTGGGTCAGCTTCATGCATATCAACTAATTCTTAATATTTTAAAACTATTAACTAGATAAGAAATTTAGTGGTTACCCTTATTAGCAATCAAAGAAAGAATCAAACTCATAATATCTTGAGTAAACACTGAATAGTTTATCAAATCAGGAGATAATTAAATTATATTCTTTTTCCCTTTGGCTTTGATGCTTGAAGTAGTACTAGTATACTGGCTAGTGTGTGTGAATTATACATAAGCACGTTCCTGATTAAAGTAACAAGATGTTATGATTACCAAAATATTTGGCTTAAACCCAACTTGATATTTTCAGGTACAGTTTCGATTTGATCCCAAGAAACTTCTTAATTTATTGGCTACTGTAGCCAACGAAAGAAGGAGCCAACTCGGGAATAGAATATTTCCATATTTGTCATAAAACAATGACTTGAAGTTCGGCGGTATGTATGATAATACCATTTTCGGAAAGTCTCATAGAAAGTTTCTAAGTATAGATATTGATATTTAATTAGCTTATAGAAACTTAATAGTTAAAGGCTTTCTTTTTCTCGTAGGCAGAAACCCTCCTCCATGCCATGCTTTTAGTCTTACTCTTAAAACTGCATCTCGAGGGAACTTGAGGAGCCCCTACTGGCATGAGAGTTAGATATACTTGGAAAACTCGACAACCCATATGGGAAAGGGTTTTTTCTTCTCTCTTTCTATATGTTGGTTACTGCGCCTTAAAACTAGTGTATTTTTATCTACTGAATCCATGATGATGATAAATTTGTATTTTTGAAGATAATTAATTTAATAAAAAATTCAATCGAAAGTTCTTAGTGATAGATATTTAAAAACCCAACTCTTAATTGTGGTATTATATTAAAAAAAAAAAAAAAAAAAAAAACTTTTGATTAGTTAAAGGTCTAACATTATATCCAAGCCTAACACAATAATTTTGATTTTATAATTTGCTAATCTCGTAAAGAATATTTAAGTTTTCATATGGGATGGCGTTTTCTTATTCTTCTTTTGGTGTTTTCCATGCGTTTCACTAAATTGTAAAACCACTATTCCTTTCTCTATATTTTATTATAATTTTTTGTTAGTCCCATGAAGATTCAACTTATCGTATCGGGAAATGTTATTTTGTCTATTCCAAACGTTCATATTGGTGGTAAAAAAAATACTGCTCATTTACTCTTTATAGATCTATTGCTTCACAATTTGCTGATCTAATGAATTTTTAAACTAATAAACAAAATATTGTTTGTTGTTAAATTAATTTAGTTGCTCTTTGGGTGAAAGATCTACTGATTTCTGATTGAATATACATTTCCCAGTTGGGGACAGATTATGATTGAGCGTCCCATTCATTAAACAACTAAGTTGAGGACCACAAAGTGCTGATTAAGGCTGCATATCAATCATGCAATCTGTAATAATCCTGTCATTATTTTCCCAATCCAAAGGGTGGGGTTGAATTGAGTAAGTTTTACTTTCCTTAGAACTGTATTAAGGAATCAATCAAACTTAAATTTATGGTGATTATTATTATTAGATTGATGTGATATTCGAAAGGATGCACTCTCTTAGTCTCTTACAAGTAAGAACACATTCGACTCAATAGTGAAGTTATTAAGGTTGAACAATATTATACAAAATATAAAAAAGGAATAATTAAAGAAAAATATAATGAATCATGACAATCTAGATTGCATTTACTGTATATATTTTCTTGTATCGGGGGAATTAGAGATACTGGTCATTAACAGGAGAGACAGGCGCATAGGGATGTGAAGATGTACCTTTTTAAAAATAGAGGACATAGAAATGAGAGCATTGAAATTGCAAAATGGACCGGTCCTTAGAGACACGTGTTGGTCGGAGTAAGTTGATGAGAAAATCATCAAATTGTCAGTACCGTGTGGTCTGATTTAGCCCAATTGGTATAGTTTGTGTGTGACTGCGAATGGACATCTTCACGTGGTCTCGCATGCATGGAAGCCCCGTCGAGAGACACTTCAGGCCATGCCGTGACTGTCTCCATCGGATTTTACTAAAAGTATGTATAATTTATAATCTCATACTAATACTATAGTGTATCTTAATCTAATTATAAAGAATTATATACATGTTAGGATCATCTACTGGAAAAAGTTTGGGTGCATTTGTGCAGTATGTCATCCTGCTGATGTGATCCATATCATACAAACTGGAGACATTGTGTCATTATTTAAAATCATATATAAATATATGTGTGTGTATTCTCTTACTTCATCTCAGATTGCAAAACAAAGAGAATTATTTTCTTCGTCACATTGTTGATGCGTGATTTTTACACTATCAAACGCACGTGTAAAATGATAAGCTGACCTAGAAGATACACGTGAATATAAAGAAAAATGAGAGTAAATGCAATGGAGACAACTTTTAAAGTGGTTTGGATGCTAAGGTAGCAAGTTTACGTCCATTGATATTTGTATTAATGATAAGGATCAAGTCGTGTTAGCGGACTGACTTACAAGTGGGTTACAATGACTCACAATGTGATAGTACAAAGAGGAGATAGTAATCAAGAGTAAAAATGAGCGAATCCCATGAAGAGAGGAACTCTCAATTTACAGTGTGATGCATTGAGCTAATGATATGGATCTGTGAGTTGACGGGATTATGCGTACAAATCCTTCTTTATGTCACATTGCCCACCTTCTAGAGTGATTTGCGCGATTTGGTACATGGATTGGAACAGTGAGATCACCACAGCTTCTGGCTGGTCTGGGGCACCCACTATTCTGATAGAAGCAGCGCGGGTGTTCCATATTCTGAAGAAGCGGCTGCGGGTGTATCCACTACTCTGACTTTTGCACGCTGATTGGACCTCACTTCAATCCTATATTTTCAGTCATAACAACATTAATCCATGTATATTCATGGTTAATTATTGATTATTAATGGTTTATATAATAAAGTTTTTTATTGAGTTCTTGACAAATAAGTAATTAGCGAGATAGACAAATTGCTAAAACGAAACTCAATCCCCCAAAATAAAAAAAGTGAGGAAAATGAGAAGTGATACTTAAATGTTGTTAGAAACTTAGAATTATTAGAGGTGTAGAATGCCATACGTGTTGAAAACCAACTCTGTTGGGTTGTGTTGTGTTCTAGTTCTACTGTCTTTGGCAAAAAAGAAAGAAATTATTGTGTTGTATTATTGAAGATTTGAAATGACATATCAAATTCATATGAGTGGTATTGATCGATATTGGATAGAAATGGTCTAATTGTGAGAATGAGATGGATTGGAAACAATGAGAGATGACTTTGTGGTGTGTGTTGAGAAACAGGACTGATATACAGTCTTGGTTCTGCAGAATCTGTCTCCTATTGGATTGTGTTATTGGAAACACCTCGAAATTATATATGATCAAATTTCATGATCCCTAACGTAGGGATTTGCATGGTAAACGTGTTATAAGATCGATCTTAAAGATTTTCCAATTAATAAGCTAGCTTGTTCACCTCCGCCCCTTTTAGTTTTAGCACAAGTTGAGTACTAGATTTCTTGAACTTACGTATGAGATACTTTCAGTCTTTCACTCCACGCACAATATCACCTCGAACTTATAAACAGATTCAAAGCACATGATTACTTTCTTTCATTTGGTTTCCGTGGGATTTTGCTAAGTCTCAAAATCAATTCCAAAAAAACAAATTGCTTATGCAAAAGTACTGCTGTACTAGTATCCTACAGCTTAATTAGTTGTACTAAACAGGCGATGCAGTATGTATACGCTAGTTGTGATAAAAGCATGCAGCACAAAGATGATCTTAAGCAAATGCAAATATTATATATATATATATATATATATAGAAGTCTTCCAGTTAAATAAAAATTAGGATTTAGCTTTGTTTAATTAATTTGTGATTAGTGAGTAGAAAAATATCCATGGATTCATTATTTTTATCTCCCTCACCATCCATCATATTCATATATATGAAGCTAATAACGATCCCAATTGCTGCATTTTTCTAACTTGATCGTAATTAATAATAATCAAAGATCAATGGTTTCATCAGATATTAATCAAAGATCAATGGTTTCATCAGATATTAATTCAATAATATTATTTTTTGCCGAAGTGTGAAAGTTATTATGTTGAATCTATAGTAACTTAGTTGGGCAAAACATTTAAATATCAATCACTAAAGAAGAAAGATAGATGAATTAAAATTAAATGGGGAAGGTGGTGTAGATCGAGTAGTGTGGGATGAGATACAGATACAGCTGGTGGCTAATGGTTGGGTTAGTGAGGGACAACGGCACGGGAACATGCTCTCTTCAATCTTCATATCGGCCCCATCACTTCTAATATTTTGTTTTTCAACCAAGTTTTCCTTGTGTAGGCTAGGCCTGTTGCTCATTGATCTTGTTTTCTTTTTCGTTGTCCTTCGGGCAGTCAAGTTTCTTAATTTTTCTTCTATTCAAAACTTTTATATATATATATACATATACATATGTGTGTGTATGTATAAAAACCTTCAAAGGAGAAAGATAGGTCAACAAATAAGAAAAGTCAAATATTACTGCATGCATCCCATGCATTCCAAATTTACATTGATTCCAAGAGATATATATTTTGGGAAATTGTGAATCAACTGGCTACAAATCCCTAATAAAAATAATATATTGAGGCATATAAATGTCATAAATATGTTTGCTAGGTTTTGAATTCGAGGACATCAAAGACAGGTGTAGCTATATGCAAGGTCGATATGTTATATGAGGTATCGACTTTATGAATTGAAATGGAAACATGGGAAGGGAAATTAATGCTCTTATTTCCATCTAGCTTTTGTATTATTTATAAAGTAATTGGTAATGGAAGAAATTGATTAAAATAGGAAGAAAAAGACATAGTAGTTGAGAAAAGATGACAAATAGAAGAGAGAGAGAGAAAGAAGGCGGCAAAAGTCACCGTTGGGAACTTAAACCAGCAGCTTCTACCAGCTTGTCTATGGAAATTCTCACACGCCCTCACTCTATTTAAATCTTGTTGCAGCTCATATTTCACTGGCTTACGAGATCTGTGTATCATAAACTAACACTTGAATCTCTGTTGGTCCACTTATTCACCATCTCCACATGTTTAAATAGATCTTACTCTACCTCCATATAACTTCATCAATTTAAGGTAAGAAAAAAGAGATTTAAATAGCAAGTAATAGACCAGTGTTGATATCGTATCTGATTTCATTGCAGATGTTCAACTGGATACAAAACAAGCTCAATGGGCGACGTGTAAGCAAGAAACAGGACTTCATTTCATCAGCTAATCGTAAGTACTGTTCTTTGGCATTACTTTTATCCTCAATATATAAGCTGAAACCATGCATGATTAGTACAGTCGATCGGACAATTAATTATTAGTATGATCTTTATTAATCATAATTTCATAAGCTCATTGCAGTGTTTAATCACAGAAATTAACATTTATTTATCTCTTAAACCATTAACAGTAAAAACAGGAGTAACTGTCTAAAAATTGTGATTAAATCTTTTAAAAGATAACTCAATATATTGATCTACTGCTAATGATATTATTGGTCTTCTACTGTAAATGATGTTTGTTTCTGGTATATATAGAGTACAAACAGGAAGAACAACGCAAAGAAGAATTCATCGACTGGCATAAAGGTTTGTTAACAATTGGGACAATTGGAAATGAAAAATTACTCTCCAATCTTCAACAAAATCCATCCTCCTCTGAAGATCTTACCCTTGAAGAAGAGGGAAAACTTCAAAATGAGCTAAACTTATTATTGCATGAACATGCTGGAGCCTCTTCGGCCGCGGAATCAGAAGGTGATCCTCATCCTTCATTGGATAAAATTCTCGACCATTCAAGCTCAGGAGATGAAGAATCGGCCAACGACGATACATATTATGATGATTCGAATAGGGATAGCGGCGGCCATGTTCAGCGAAGCACAAGTGTAGTTTGTAGCAAAGGGAAAGATATTTGCACTGATAATACTAAAAGGGCAATTGGGAAAAAATCATTGTCTTTTCTGGTTAAGAAGGTGATTGCTTGCAGAGGTGGGTTTTCACCTACCCGTAGTATAAGGGATCCCGTCTCAGAATCACGAATGGAAAAGGTATATTTATATTTATACATATTTAATCACTCCAGTATCCTTCAAACGCTCAGTTCTAATTTCTTATGAGTTGTTTACAGATGTTGAGGGCAATTCTCCACAAGAAAATATATCCCCAAAGTCCTAGTACAACATTGTCTACCAAAAAATACTTGGCAAACAGAGGGCGTAAGCCCAAGTCTGCCAAAGAGGATGAGATAAATGAGAAGCCGGAGAGTGGAAGTAAATGGGTTAAGACAGATTCAGAATGTAATTTCATTTGGCGTATCTATATTTATATTTTATATATAACAACATATGCATTATTATAAATTTTGATGTTATTTGTATCTGTTTTTTACTGCAGATATTGTTTTAGAGATATAATTAACTTCTGGGGCCAGCTGTGAAGATTATTACATAGTCAGAACATTACTTTGAACCTTTCTTTTACTGTTTAACTGTAGTAATTAAGGGGAAAAACAGGTACTAACTGGAAAATGTAATGTTGCAGGTATTTAGTATAAATGCACTGTTTCAGTGTTAAGCATGGTTGAGCTAATCGCTGGAAAATGTCTCTACCAAATATTAATAAACAATGCCAAGCAATGGAGGTGTTAATCACAAGGATGATCCACAAGATTGATGATTCTAGCTGAATATGCTGCTGCATGCATGCTACAGCTACAAGGTCAATAATGGCTGATTTTTGTATTTCTTGGGTAAACAAAATTGGTTAATTCTGTGATAATAGTTCAGGGAAATTCCTTGTTTTGTTGCAATCAATTCCAGCCTTAAGGTAAGAGGAAGATATTGATACTTTGCAGGGGATTAATGTTTTTGTCTCATTGGTGTGTCTGCTGCAGGAGGGGCAGCTTAATCTACCATGTTATCAGTAGCAAAACTTATAGCAAAGCATCAATAAATGAATGATAGCTGGAGGAAAAATAAATAAATATAAGGGAGGAGATTGTCCGCATTTAAAAGGGCAAAAAAAAAAAAAAAGAAAAAAAAAGTAGGCTTCATTTTGCTATGGTAGAGTCTAATTGTATCTTAAATTGTTTTATTAAATTAAACTTATACATAAATATGCCTTACTCTGTAACCTCTAACGTTGCATAGGTAACAAGAAACTAAAATTTGCCATACATAGAGCCAAACTAAATAATCTGGGAAATGATACTTGTTTGAATGGTTTTCATTTTAATCGACTATCTAAAAATTGAATTTAATTAAAATAATTGAGAGGTTGTAGGAGATAATTAACTTGAAAAATCATCGCTTAATATTTTGATAAATTTTATTTTTTAAAACTTATGATTATCTTCTAAATTAACCGAATTCCATGAGCATTGAGCTCGAACCAAAAGTCTAATTTTCATAGCAACAACAAGAGTAAAGAAACCAAAATCTTTGTAAAATTCTCAAATGAAATACTCAATAATAAAATAAAGGTTCAAGATAGTTGGTGTTTTCAAAAGCTATTTCTTTTTTGTGCGTTTAATACATTTTCTTGGATTATAAAGTTTCGTAGCCGAATCAACATATGTGTTTGTATATTTATTGACTCCAATGTAGAAAGGGAAGCGTATTTCACAGATTGTAATTTTTTAAGGTTGTGTAAAACACTAAATTACTTGAACTAGCTAGAATACTCCCATTTGCGATATCATGTTCATTATTATTATTATTATTATTTGGGGGGAGGGGGGTTGAAGGAAAAACAGTCTCTTAATTACAATTTCATTAGGGTTCTTAGAAATTCTAAAAATTATACGGAGAGGGGAAGAAGATAAGGGTATTTTTGGAATGCCAATGCATGTATAATTTTAGCTAATAAAATTTACAAAGAATTTTGGTGGGGCTCAAATAACACCACTCAAATCTATTACCAATGGGCCTAACACCATTGGACTAAACATACCTTTAGATCTCAAGCTTTGGGAGCTTGTATTTTGAGCTTAATTGTAGCTACGCTTTTTATTTTATTCTTTTTTCGGGTTTTAATAAGTAAACCCTCTTTGTTTTCATTAAGTTAGAAGGTTAAATTGTAGGAATTCTCACATGAATTCACTCAATTCTAACAATTAATCCTAAGATTTGCATATTAATTATAGAATACTAAATTTAAAGATTAAGGATTAGAAAAACCTAATTCTGTCATGACTTCTGAATTTCTTAAATTCCTTGCAAGTAATTATCAGTCTTCCTTTACAGAAACACTCCAGAATGACGACTTCCAAATAGAGTCTAGTGTATAATCACATTTTGGAAAGAGAACATAGCCAATTTATATCAATTTATTAGGTCCTCTCATTAAAGGTCCAATAAACTCTAAAATCCATTACAGGTCCAAGTCCACACTTGTCGTCAACCCAGATTATATAAAATGAAGCATGTTGGGCAAATTCTGGAATGATCATATAAGCCCATAAGGATATTTCATTGGACTACGCATTTTCCTAGATTCATCAAACCAAATCATAATTAATGTTACCCCACAATTAGGAAATTTTCTAACATAAATAACTTTAGATCGGTGTTATTTAAGCCCTCACCATTTTTTTTTTTTCTTTCTAAGCCGAAATAATAATCTTTTAGAACATATATTCTTTTGAACTAGTAATTACCAAATGGGGAGTTTATTCTTTCTCCATATATTATATAACTATTTTTCTCAATTCTCTAAACTCTTCATTTTTTTTTTCAAAAATTTGAATTTGAATTTTTTGTTTCAAAATTATGTTGTCATAATTGAATTTTTTTGGAAGAGATGAAAAATTAAATCAAACTATGAAAATAAAATAGTAATAGATATTCTCATTAACTATTTTTGCCTAGGGTTTGATTTAGAAAATTAGTTTAACAATGTTTGAACTATAGGAGAATGATGGAAAAGATAAAATTCATTTTAACATTCATCAATTGATATAAATTCTCATGGAAGTTGAGATTAATAGAATGAAAATAGTTGCATATAAGAATTTAAATAGGAAATAAAATGTTTAAGGAAAGGGATTCCATAAAAAATGAAAATGACAACTCGAGTTTAACATAGGATAAAAATTAGGAATGATGGGATCTAACTTAGGAGGGAGAATAGTAAAGGTGGGTAGGGACTAGACCCAATTGGGATCGAGTTTGGGCCCGGTCCATCAAATGGGCATGGGATTGGTCCTAGGCATGAAAACTTTCAAGGCTCAGACTGATCCCTCCAACGGGTCCTAGGCCCATAGTATCAGTCTCATGGACCTATAATTTTTCATTTACCCTCCTTATTTTTTATCTATTAAAGGATTTAATCAAAACTATGTAGGGGGATTTATGTAATTTGTTAGAAGTAATTTGTAAACTTTTTAATTAATTAGTAAATAAATAATTAAATATAAATGAATGGTTAAACGTTAATGAATAATGACTTAATTCTTAATTGGTTATAAATTTAAGATGTTTTTAATTTAAACTTTAAAGAGATAATAATAATTTAATTTTAACATAAATATAATATTCACACAATCACACTTTACAAATAAACAATTAAATAAATTTTTTTTTAAATTATTAATTTACATCATCAACAATATTTACATCCTCCAAATTTATGTTTCTAAAGATGTTGAGTAGTTTGGGATCTTCAGGGTGCTGCTGATCTCTTATATCTACATGAGTCTAATCTCGTAAACATATTATGACTTCAACCATCTCATTGGTTAAAGAGCATCTTCTCTCTTCAACAATGTGGCCACTAATTGAGAATGTTGACTCCGATGCAATTGTCGAAACTAGCACATATAAAATGTCACGTGCCATTTGAGCTATTATAAGGAATCAACTTGCATTGTGGTTCCACCATTGAAGCAGATCCATCTCACGCTTCTCCTTCTTAGACATGTAGGACATGTCCATTTGTAGGTACCGATGCAGCTCATTTGATCCAAGTTGTCTGTATGAGCTGCTACTTCCACCACCACCACTGCCGCGTTCCACAAACGTCCAGATGCTCGTTCCTTGTTCTTCATTAGGGTCTTGTTGCTCGTCTCTGTTGGCACTGGACGCTCCATTGTACCTAGTCTGATACAAAGAAAAAAAGGCTTTCCAATATTCAGTTAAAATCTATCAAATAAGAACCATAGTCCTATTGTAAATTATGGCCTATCTTAGCAACCGTGCATTAAATACGTTTAATTTAAATCTAGGGTCTATAATAAAACATAATCCATATAAGAATGAAATATCTAACCAATATTTTCGGTTTTTTTTTTTTTTTCCATTAGAACAACAATGTTGCTCAAATCTTCATTCTATATATAAAAATTATAGAAATTCGAAGTAAAATATCTAATGCTACATTAGTAGTAGGATAATAAATATCACTTAATATAGTAGTAGAATCGTAAAAAACTTTAAGAAACGAACAAAAAAAAAAAAAAAAAGTTTGCAAACCGTCCAATTGGATTCGTTGACGACTTCCTCCGGATAGTTCTTCCAGTTGACAATCTCTGTAATTTGTCTTGCGGTTGGTATAACTTTTTGCAACATCAGCTACATGGAGTTCCAACAGACATACATGTCCATACATAACTTCTTTGGTTCAATCGGCGGATCCTCTTAGCGACAATATTTGCAGAATTCAGTCCATCTTGAATTGCTACCGATGATGAATCCGATTAGCCACACGCACCCTTTTCAATCCTCGAATGTATAGCTTTTAAACCTGCTTTAACAATCAAATTGATGATGTGGCATGCACATTTCTGGTGAAAAAAATTCCCTTCACCAAGCAGTACTAATCTCTTTTCAAATAAAGAAATTGCTGAGGTGTTAGCAGCTACATTATCAAGCGTTAGCATCACAACTATCGCAAATAATAAATATTCTTGCAAAACTTTAATAATTGTAAAATAAATAGTGTTAGCACTATGTTTTTCATATAATACTTTAAAACCTATCAATTTTTGTTGTAAATGCCAACTATGATCTAGGTAATGTATTGTGATACCAAAAAATCTGTTTTTGATCTAGCAGCCCATATATCTTAAGTAAATGTAATAGATATATTGCTAAAATTTTCAAATTCTTTTTTAAGTTGATCTTTGATTTTATCATAAAGTCTTAGTATGTCCCTTTTAATTGTACCTCTACTAACAGGGGTAACTGCTGAACAAAAACATTTTTAATCATTTCAACAAAATAAGGATTTTCAGATAAAGAAATAGGAGAGTCCGTAGCAAATATGAATTTTGCTATGCATTCTCGTGCTCTGACTACATTATATTGCCATGTTGAGAGAGTTGAGAATTATGGATTAAAATTAAGTTGAGTTTGAATTTTCTTATCGGGTCCAGTTGAAGTTGAACCAGACTGGTGGGACTACTTCATATATAGGG